TCTGAGCTCCACGTGGCCGAGAACTGGGAGAAGACTGATGGTGTATCCACACTCTGCCGCGTATTCCTTGGTGATGGCGTGTACGCCTGTGCTGTCTGGGCGACAATCCAGAGGTTAGTGAGATTTAACATGCACCAGGATGGAGTTACAGCCAGTCAGAGACTCACCGACAGCCTCAAAGCGAGGTTTATCCCCAGCAAAGGAGAAGCCAACAGCTATCATGAAGTAACGCTCACGACACTCCATTTGAAGAACTCCTGCATGATTAAAGGTTTTAGAGATTGCTTTTGCATTGCTTTTCACAGCTGCTCTTACGAGAAGCAAAGATTTAAAGCTCACCGCTGGGAATATCACGCGTTGAAGCTGTCCGCAGCGACAGGAGAAAGAGCACTCTGTAAGATAAAACGGATTTAAGTCTCATGGAAGAAAGCTGCTTGAGGAGCAACTCATAAACTGGTGTGGAAAACACCTTACCCAAAGCAAAAACAAAAGGCCATAGCCACTGATCTGTTGGTAGTGTCTAAAACTAGCCTGGATGCTAGCAAACCACACCTGCTAACCAACAAAAGCTCAACTGCTGCGTTGCATATCCTGGTCACACTGGCACCATGCAGTGCTGAAACCCAAACTAGCTTTTATTACCACACCAGCCGGGCAACCGCTACACCCCCATGTGTAGCCTGTTAGAAATCAAGCCGTCTTTCAATCAGCAGTCATGGCAGCACAGGTGTTGCCAATAACAACACCAAGAGTCCTTCACTTGTGACCATAGTGATACGAAGCTTCATGGTATGGGAGCTTTTTTTTATCATCCATAAATCAACGTTTCAGGTTGTCATCTTATTTTCTCAAATGTTTGAGTTAGTAGGTCACATTTTTGATTCATGGCTGATTTTTAGTGGGAGAAACATTCATGTGTCATTAATGCTTAAAAAGAAGAATTAAACTACGCGTTCATGCCACACTTCCCATTTTACTTTAAGAACAGACTCTAAGAACATATTGATAGCGTGAGAACTGATATCCTTGGATGTGGTTAAGATGACTGTGAGTACTGAAGCTCCACCCACAAACTTCCTGTTTGTGAGTTGGAGCCAATCCAAAGAATGCTGGCTTAAGGGGGGAGGAGTTAAATGGGTTGTTTCAAACAGAAGATGAACAACAGCTTGTATTTTAATGCTTTATGAATAAACTGACACCGCCCCTCTTCAATAAAATGTAAGCTTCCATCAACAAAGTTTATTCATTGAGTCTTTAATATTTTGATTTTTCATGGTTTGCAAAGAAAAACAAAAAGTAGTAGAATGTAGTAGATAGGTCTCTGCCAGACACATACATTGTATTTATACACAGTGATTTGGTGTCATCAGCTCTGATGCTGCATTCCTCCTCAGACCACAGCAAAGTACACAGCACCCACCACAGCTAACAGACAGAAAACTCAATAAATAAGCTTTCTCAGCTCTGTATACAGCCTGGTCTATACAGGTCTACCAGTTCAGCCTGTGATCGATGTGGATGCCCCGATGCTTATACTCCTCCACCACCAGGATAAATGCAGGTCGTGTAGCCGTCCTCCCAATCGTCTCTGGTATCCTCATTCAGAGAGCAGATATCCCACCCGCAGACCACTCCAAAAAATCATTCAGTCATCAAATTCTGCAGAATCACAGTATTTCTGTTGGTGGCATATGCTGGAGATGTACTGAAAATCTTCCTTGTATGAGGTGAACATGAATGGAGACTCACCTGTGCAGTAAGAAGCTGTGAGGCGCCCACATTGGCGTGGACGTCTGCGGTGTAAAAACACCCGTGATAATTCACTTCAAAGTAACTTTTAAAAAAGAGAAAAAAAGAGCCAAAAAGACAAATTTTAGGCCTTAATGTAAACTGCGAACCACGTTTGAGTCAGAAACTGGATGAAAACACGATGCTACAGCGACACCTAGTGCTGAAAGCGGGGTGTGTCACTGACTGCCAGCTTTGATGAAGAAATGAAAACATGGCACACAGGAAGCGCTTGGATAAACCGATTTCGCTACGTAATAACGAAATTGATCATAAACGTCATAAAGCCTAATAGATGAAGGTTTTCTGGAGGCTCTGTGAGTGCCTGTAAAAATGTATCTGCATGCAGAGTAGCAAGAAAGAGGATGAAAACTGCCAACTCAAGCACAGGAAGCAACTAAATAGTAAATGTGCATCAGTATTAGATCATTTTATGTCACTTTAAAAACTGGCATCAGTGAGTTAAAAATATCAGAATTTTACAGCATGTGTGGGGATTCTGTCTGCACCTGTATTGTTATTATTATTATTAATATATAGGTGATGTTATGTCACGAATCTCTCTGACAGTCATCTAGGTTAAAACACCTGCTGTGGTAAGACTCTCAGTAAATATGACTCCAGGTGACGATGGATATTTGGCTCTAGTGTCATACATGTCTAGTTTTTTTGTGAGCCACGTTAGTATTTACCGAGGCGTTGACTCAGGGTGACTCAATTTTATTTATAAATCGCCAAATCACAGCAACAGTCACCTCAAGACGCTTTATATTGTAAGGTAAAGACCCTCCAATAATACAGCAGAACCAGGCTCAGGGAGGAGCAGCCATCTGCTGTGACCAGTTGTTGGTGAGGGGAAGGAGATGGGGAAGGAGACGAGACAAAAGACACACTGTGGAAGAGAGCCAGAGTTTAATAATATATCATGATTAAATGCATAATGGTGTATAAACACTTGGTGAGTGACAAAGAAACACTGCATCATGGGAAGGCCGCAGCAGCCTAAAAATATCGTGGCGCAACTAAGAGAGGATTCAGGGTCACCTGATGAGAACAGGTCCAGATGTGACATTTGGGTCAGATGTCTCACATAGGCATCCTTATTCATTATCTCAGACCTCTCTATTTAATCCCAGGCGGCACAGCTGGATGCCCGCTCTGACTCACCAACGTCCAGAAAATGTTACTTTAAGTCAAGTCCCGTCACGATTAAAGACTGAGTAATCAGACAGAGTCCCGTGGAGAGGACAGTCACAGAAAAGGTCACTCTCTTTTTACAAAATGAGATGTGAAAATGGTTTTTTCTTCATTAGTTGGCCCGGTGTTGGAGCACTCCTTTATTCCAGCTGGTTGCTGAGAAGTTCTTTTAGAAATGTGATGACTTTTTTAAATGGCAGAAACAGTGTATCAAGTGAACATGTCAGTCACAATCAATAAAGCTGACTTGATAGTTGGTTCGCTGTGAATCAGTATTTAAGTATTTTTGTTAAACGTTTCTTAAAAACATATCTTCACCAAGGTCTTGATGTTTTTCTGACTTCCTGTCCTGCTGAAAGAGTAGAAACTGAGTAAATGCAGTATTTATACCTCCAAGCAGGCGTCAGAATCGATCCAGCAGTACCAGAAATATTGCCTTTTGTATTTTTCACACTTCTCTTCCTTTTCAAAATTTGCCTACATTACCCACAATGCAACCACTGCCTACTCTTTCAAAGAGTTGAGGATGTTAAGCCTGAGATTGTCATGGCTCTGGGTCAGCTGGCCCAGTGTTTAGTGGTTTTTGGATATTTTAGGTTTTTTTTTTTTATTTAATTCTATGAATTCGCAGTGTTGTGTTTTGTTTATATGATTTCTTGTATTTATTCTCTTAGTGTATTTAATCGATGTTCGTGCCAGAATGACCAACAAAGCTGCAATGGCTGACTAGTGACAAATATTGGGTGAAGAACGGGACACCATCCCACAGCAGTGTGTGACCGAGCAGGTGGCCAGCAGGAGGAGGTGGTGCTGCTCAACCCACAAGTGGATTTTCATTACAAATGTAGCACCATTTAAGGTGGAATAAACTTTCCAACAGTATAAGATTTATTGCCAAGAACAAAGAAATAGTTAACCAAACACAAACTTAGTTTATTAATGAAATGATGTAACTTATTATAAATCAATCACCAGTTTGCGACACGAGCTTCACATAAACGTTACTCGACAGCATTTACATCCTCGGTGGTTGCACTCCATCCGTCCTTCGAGCAAGCAAAGCAAAGCAGCCTAAATCATGACGCTCCCTCCGCCGTGCCTTTCCTCCTTCATTGTGGAGCATCATGGGGACTTTCCAGTGTTGAACATTTCACTGTTTTTTTGCAGCACTAGTTTCCCTTGTGGTGTCCTTTCACTGACACCATCTTAATTCAGTCTTCTGACAGCGGACTCGTGAATGCAGATTTCACCAACAAGGACCACAACCTCAAAAATGATGGGCAGCATTTGTTTAAACAAATATCTAGATGTGAAACTGTCGTTTGAGGGAAGAAATCCTCCCGGCCCGGGCGGATCCCTGCTGCTACTGAGAAGAGGAGGTGAAAAAACGAGTAAGCGGGATGGAAACTCAATCACAGAGAAAGCATTTGAAGACACACAAAACAGAGGAGTGTATTTCTTTTAGGGGCAACCCTGAAATTTCTCTTTGAGTTAGTCTTTAATGTTACTTAAATAGCAACTTTCTACTCAGTTGAGAACTCAAAGCACTTTCTACTGTAAGCGTGTCACCAGACACTCCAGCGGATGAGTCAGGCTCAGCATCTTGCCGATAGAACCCGCTCTACCACCACCACCACTACACTTACATCAAGCGTTTTGTTGGCGAGTTGACATTTAGATGTTAACTCCTCTTCTCCTTTATTTCCCCATTGACTCAAAGTGACGATGGCGTGAAGGGTGGGGGAGTGTTGGAAGGGTTAGCTGTGTCCAGGCAGCCTCATTAACATTTGAGTCACACTGTGTTATTAGCAGCACTGAACGGTGTCCGGAGCTCATGTTGTGCTCCAGACCCCTGCAAAGCTGCTGTGGCTAATTACGAGTGGCAGAAGTTACCTCAAAAATCACAGTTTTTTGGATTTAATGGATCTCATTTAAAGTTAATGCAGCATGAGTGCCGATCGGCCTGAAAACCACCTCTGTCACTTTTTGTCGGATGCGTTTGGGAGCTGGTTCGTCCACGCCATCGTGCCCAGTGATGACCTTATCCTGTCCGGTGACACGTCTGTTCACAGCCTCTGTCACACACACACACCTCCTCACTGCCTCGCAGCCAATCCTCTCCACCAATCACATCCTTTTGTTGGCTTGAGGATGAGGAGGATTTGAAGATGAAGGTGCCTATTTATCAGCTCAGCTCATCATGATACCCTTCAGCTCCCGCACCTCCTACATCCCGATTGGTTAGGGTTTCTTATAGTTTGGGGATTTTTGCAGCACCGCACATCTCCAGCGTTGAAAGCAGAGTCCGGGAACGTAAGAGCTGAGTTGTTCTGTCTGCGGTTCGAGGCGGAGATGTTTCGCTCTCAGGTGCTTCTCGTGGCTCTGGGTTTGTCTGTGCTGCTGGTGCGGGTGAGCACGGCTCCATACAGCGACATGCTGACAGAAACACTGAGAGCAGACCTCACAAATGACAAGGTGAGTAAATGCTGCATCAGGAGCTAAAATATATAAACAGTTTTGTACTGGAAGAGGTGTTTGAACTTGAGGAACCCCGTCCCCTCCATTTCTGTCCTCCTTTAGGATCTGACTCACTGGCTCTTGCTGAAGTTCATGGCTGAACTGATGGCGGCGAGAGGAGACGAGACGCGGCGAGGCAGGGAGGAGGTGACGAGGCGACACCTCTCTCTGTCCCAACGAGAGCGCAAAGCAGGCTGCCGCAACTTCTTCTGGAAGACTTTCACCTCCTGTTAACAGCAGGAGTATCTTTTGTTTTTACGGATCAGCCGACGCATGTTTGCTTTCTTTGTGGTAACCGGATTATTTACCGTAAGATAACAAATGTGCAGATACTTTAAGTTTAAAGACTAATAAAATTATATGTTTCAAGACCGGCAGGTACACACTTCTGAAATAAATTTTCTGATTTTAAATTCTTGCTTTTCTGTGAAGCTGGTACCGATGATCCCGATTCTGTCTGCATCAAACCCCAGCTTTCCTGGATCCTACATTTCCCACAATGCAAGTTGATATCATCTTTTGGTAATGTGTTTTTGTTTTTTTCTTACTTTTGAACACAGTGCAGCAGATAGCATTAGAGGGAAATCATTCACAGATAGATACAAGTTACTTTTTTGATAAAGCCATTTGAAAACATGAGTGACTGGCTCAGCTTGCAATGTAAAAAGCATTATATAAATCACAGATAACACTGATTAACCTGGCGAATGTAACGAATACCTGGGCAGCACCATTACGCAGAAGACGTGGGAGCGTCAAACTGATATCAAAGGTGCGTCTACTGAATATTTCAGATGAATCTCTGTGACCTCAAACTCAAGGTCAAAGGTCAAGTTGTCTAAAAATTTTGTGAATGTGATGATTTGAGAAGTCACTGAGGTGTAGCACTGATGGTTGTTTTAAAAGATTGTTTTAGTTATCAGCAGCACTTGATGGTGTTTGTTAAAATGCCAGAATCACCTCTTTGCTAACGTTTTAACCACCGAGCTCCAACTCAGCACTTTAAACTGAATCCACAACAAGGATCGTAATCCGTGACTGAAAAGGAGAGAAAACTCCAAGATCCAAGGAGCGTGACGCATGCTGGCGTGATTCAGTGTGTTGAGTGAGTTGCGAGCACTGTGAAATGTTTAAAAAAAAAAAAAAACAGATTAGCACATCACGAGATAAATGAAGAGATGCCGACGACTGGAGCGTTTTAAAGTGATCGTGTTGTGTCACCGAAACAAAAGCAGAATTCACAGAAACACACAAACACAAAAACAGTTTCAAACCAGGACAGTTATGGAGCTGAATGACATCCTTGAGGTAAGGCTTTCACATTTCTAGCCCTTTAAGTTAAACACGTACAAAATGCGGACGGAGAGACAAGAGGTTAAACACAGTTATAACAAATACTGCAGCTCCAAAGGCTCAGAGTATGACTACTTTGCCTCCATAAATGAAGACTTGTAATCGAAAACAAAAAAAATCCATTTAAGGGGGATAAACAAAGTCATCACCTTAAAAGAAAGGGGACCCTATCATGCTTTTCTTTACTTCTTTATTTCCAATTACTGTGCTAAACTGTAGGTGATGTCATAGAGTAGGCTTAATCATAAGCACATAAGCCACTTGCTGGTCTAACCATTTGTTTGTGAGGGGCAGCCAATCAGAAGAGAGCTGGTTTTAAAAGAAGGGGAGGTGCAAAACAGCTCAGACAGAGACAGCAACTTTTTGATTATTTCAGACTGAATCATTGCAAAGCTGCTCTACTTGAGTTCAAAATTACAGCACAACAGGTCCCCCTTTAAATTCAGCACTCATTACCCCCTAACGGTGCCTTCACACCAAACGAGAAACACAAGTTTTGCTAACGATAATCCATAAGTCATCTGCCCCTTTAAACAGATTATCACTTTTAAATGCTTTTTTCCTTTTTAACGTTTCCCCAAATGGCACATTAAACAAACTCTTTACAAGAGGCTTTGAGCTTTTGCACACCAGGATGCCTCGTAAGTGAGCCACACCCTGTTTTCCATTAGACAAAGTGAGTTTGACTTCATTGCACCGTCATTTTCAATGTAACATGTCAAGTATCAAACAAACAAGCATCGAACAAAGATTGTGTTTCGTAGACATTCAAAAATGGCAAAAAAAAGAGAGAAAAGAGTCTTATTACAAGTTGTGAGTAAGCGACTAGTAACATGATGCTGTAATGCTGAGAAGCGTGACAAAGAATCTGTCCTAACAAATCTCGTTCTAAAGAAAAATAAGCTGTTGGCTGTCAAACTGCTACACATTCTTATCGTCTACATTTCCTGCTCTATCAGGCTACGTCACCGCACTGCACTACAGGCTACACGCGTTCCACAACAACCCGCAGCAGATTCACTCAAACCCACCTGTTATGTACAATCACAGTTGATTTTGTGTGCTTTTAATAACGCTGCCTACTCTCTAGCCTGGTTCAGACAAACCATAATCCTGATTATCACGCGTGTCCCTTATCTGGAAAAAAATCCTTATTTTCAGGTTGAAATCTGTAACGTCCGTGTGTGCTTTCATTGTCTTTGAAAGTGTTAACAATAAAATAAAATGACATGTGCAAGGAATATGTGGGCAGTACCGGAGTGGATGAATGATGAAGTGGAGCCCAAGCTGCCTGCAGGTCAGGCCACTGTCGTACAAACGCTGAGCTAAACATTACAAACGATGTACCAAAGAGTAAAGGAAACGAAGCGGGAGATGCCGAACACCAGTGAGGAGGAAGTAAAAGTAACGATTTTCTACCGACACTGTGAGTGAACAAGCTGCTATCAATAATGTGCCGGCTGTCCGTGGATCTGTGAGGCCGGGAGCGAAGAGGTTCAGGTAGAGATTTGTTAGCAGTCGGTGGAGATTTTGGCCGAGAGGTCCTGGATGCGGCGTGCGCTGCAGCTCTTGCACAGGATGTGGCCGTCCAGCGGGTAACAGCCTCGACCGTCGCCTTCAGACGACAGCAGGAGACCACATTCCTGACGAAAAGAGGCACTCGGGTCACTTCAGATAAACGCTCACAAGGACTGCCGAGTTTTGTGTTTTGAACTCTTCGTCAGCTATGATGAACTTCACACTTTGATCAGCAAGTCCACATTTAGATTCCCCAGATTACTGCGATTGATTTATGTCAACACACTGAGCTGTTTCCACCTAAACCTGCAGTTTAGAGATTAGCAACTCCATGCTGATGTTTATTGACTACTTTATTCTCACAAGAGAGTTCACTGTGTTAATTATATGTAATGTTTAATGTAACCAGGCTTTCTTCTGCCTTGGAAAGGCGCCGGCATTGAGGCTGTTACTCTATTTCCCTGAAACTGATCCCTTTTCCTCTTATTTTTAAATAATTTATTCTCAGAAAAAAGGGAATTCATAAAGCTTTTCCTCGATATATGCCAAGAGATCTGCTTGATTGGGAAAGCTCACCTCACAAACGTAACAATTAACATGGAAGCTGCGGTCCAGGGCTACAATCCTGACGGTCTCCTCCTGCCCCGGCTCGGGCATGATGGGCTCCCCACACACCGAGCAGCGCGGCGCGTACTTCCTGTCAGACACAACAACCATCCAAGCTCAGAGTTAGTTTAAGCACCTCTGTCTCGGCCTCAGTGCAGAGTCGCAGCCTGCAAACGCCGTTTAGCTCGCACAGTTCAGCGATTACCTGTGAAAGTCCTCTATGCAGTGTATCTGAGACGTGGCGTCCACTGTGAAGGGCACGCCGTCCAAACAGCAGTTACAAATGACACACGTGAAGCAGCGAGGGTGGTAGGCTTTCCCCATGGCTCGCAGGATGCGGTCCAGAATGGGTTTGGAGCACTTTGAGCAGCGCTCTAGTGTGCTCTTAAGAAAAACAGATGGAAATAAAAACAGGGTTGAGAGAGGACCACTGAAAGACGAGGGAGAGCAAATCTCTCCGGTTTGAGGAAATATGAAAACAGCTCATTCACGTACGATGTAACAGCTCTCGCAGTAACTCTTCTTGTCGAGAGCGTAGAAGGGTTGCCCTCGCAGACGTGCGTGGCAGGTGATACACGTGAAACACTCCACGTGGAAAACCTGCTCCATGGCGATGCAGCCGCTGCCATCGCCGACCACGTTGTCTCCGCAGCGGGCGCAGCGACCTGAAGGTCGGCATGGAAACGGACAAGAAAAAAGTCATTAAGATGAGCTTTCCTCTTAAACTATTTTTAGATTTATTCCTGTGATGTGCCACTAGTAACAACTGATACCAAAATAGTCCTCAGCAGGCGGGTGGTTCATATCATACACCAGCTTCTTGGTGAGCCGATCTAGCTCTTCCTCAGGCCTGGGCGTTGCTGCCCCCTGCTGGAGGAAAGAGGACACATGAATCACACAAAGTTTATTTGATTTTTCAGAACACCTGGACCACAAATCAATTTGTGTTTGTTGTATGAACAAAATAGAAGTTGCGTTTCTACCTTGCTCGACTGATAACCTGGACCCTGTGCGGCTCCCGACCCACTCTGATTATTTTCCATCGCTCTCTTAGACACAGGAAGCTGGTTAACTCTTCCTCCAGACCCTGAGCCGCTCCCCTTATACCCTCCCTCAGAGTGCATCTCCTGAACCTGTGAGCCGGGATGTGGAGGGTACCAGCCCTGGGGAGCAGTTTGAGTCTGGGGCGGGGGTCGTGACACGTGCTGGCGAGGAGGAGGCGGAGTGTATGCCTGTTCAGCCTGCCTCCCTGTCTGAGAGTAGGTGACTGGCTGCGCTGTCTTGACCTGGACGCTGAACCTGGGGCCCGTAGGAGTGGACGCTGTGGTGTAGGAGGCTGGGACGGGCTGAGGGTAAGGTTTAGGGGTAGAAGTGGTGTAGTAGTCCTGCTGGTGGGAGGTGGAGTACTGAGGTGTCTGATGCTCATTGGGGTAGGGAGGTGCTGGGTGGTATTGGCTCTGGGGATGAGGGTTGTAGCTCATGGATGGGCGACCCTGAGGAGGGGCAGCGCTCTGGTGTGCAGGCTTGTAGTGATCCGCTGAGAGGTATTTGTTGTAAGGCACGTTGTCATAGAGCTGTGGGGAGGCGGAGAATTAATAAACAGGCAAATAAAGAGAGATATCAACATTATTCATTGTTTAATTTATCAATTAAGTACATGTTAATCATTTTGAGCTAATCAAGCTTGCCGTACTTGAGTGCTGGAGTCCTGCGGGTGGCTGTCCAGATCAGCCAACATACTGGTGAGGGAGTCAATTTCAGCATCGATTTTGGAGTGGTAGTTTGCTGGCTTCTCTGGGCCACGATGCTAACACCAGAACAGCATAAGAAACCTGTCAGCTGGTTCTGAAACCCTTCAAATCTTTAGTTTCTTGTAGGCAAAGCTACTGACATGTCCACTCACCATCATCTCGTAGCTGTCCATGTGAGGGCTCCAACTGCGGTCTTCTTTAGGACCGTGTGGAGACGGGTAATAGTGATCACCAGATGAATGATGCATGGGTCCACCTAATGTTTTAGAGAACAGATATTGGAAATGAATCCAAAACCGTCTTTTTAAAGCACAACATCACAAAGCAGATCTTCACTAAAGAGATTCGCTCTGACATTCATGCGATGCATCGCTGGTTGCTGAAACACTCGTTCTACCCACGTTAACCACGAGAGATCTTTCAGTCATGATTCTAATACGAGTAAGAAACGCTACAGGCCTGAATCTGTTTCCAATTAAACAAAAATCAAAAAAGTGAAGAGTCAGTATTCCAGCATAGCCACATCCGATTTGTTTCTATCAGACTTTTAGTCACTTACTTCTAAATATTCTCATTGTTTTACCCCTGAAATACACCAGTGTTTCAGGAGTGTCCCCAGTGGATCTCTCCTCTGTATCACTTAAGAATACCACGGCTTACTTTTTTTAAATGGAGGCAAAAGATACAGGGAGGAGTCACCTCAAGGCACTTCATTCTTTAAGGTAAAGACCCTACAATCAAACCCCTAATGAGGAAGCAACTGGCGACAGTGGGAAGGAAAAACGTCCTTTTAACAGGAAGCAACCTCCGTCAGAGCCAGGCTCAGGGAGGGACAGCCATCTTCTACGATCAGTTGGGGAAAGAAAAGAAAAAAAAAGGACATTGCTGGGAGAAAGACGTCAGACACAGGAACAGGATAAAGAATCTGGTCAATTTTCAAAATAAAAGACCTTGCTTCGAC